CTTGCTGTGACTGAGTAGAAATGAAATCTTTATGTTTTGGTACCAATTCGCTGTGTGATTTTACTAAAAGTTTTCCATCACTTTGTTTTGAATGAGAGGTACCATTTCCTAATTCTACTTCTGTAGCATTGGCATTATTAACACCTAAGGAGGCAGTACAGAGCTTGGGAAAGAGAAACATCCCATCTTTTTCTTAGCTCTAAGTAAGATAAGCCAAAATTACTGAAGACTAGTTAAGAATCCATCTGCCTTTTTTTTTCTTGCAGTATACATGAAGCTCAAGATCTGAACCTGCTATGACTGACCCAGACGTCGTCACTGAGGTCCCAGCAGCTCTCAAACGCCTTGCCAAATATGTGGTGCGTGGCTTTTATGGCATTGAACATGCTTTGGCTCTGGACATTCTCATCAGGAACGCCTGTGTGAAGGAGGAGGACATGCTAGAGCTCCTGAAGTTCGATAGGAAGCAGTTGCGGGCTGTCCTCAACACCCTCAAGGGTGACAAGTTCATCAAGTGCAGGATGAGGGTCGAGACGGCTCCAGATGGCAAAACCACCCGTCACAACTACTACTTCATCAACTACCGGCTGCTGGTTAATGTGGTGAAGTACAAGCTAGATCACATGAGGAGGAGGATCGAGACGGATGAAAGAGACTCCACCAATCGCGCCTCTTTTAAGTGTCCCATTTGCTTCAGCACTTTCACAGATTTAGAGGCAAACCAGCTGTTTGACCCCAGGACAGGTAAGAGTGTAGGTAATGGAATGCTCTTGTTGTCTCCTGTGTCCCTAAGTGCTGGACTTAGTCTTGAGAAGAGGCAGCTGAGGAGTGATCTCATTGATCTGTACAACTCCCTGAAATGGTTTGTGGAGAGGTGGGGGATGGTCTCTTCTTCAGCACTTTCACAGATTTAGAGGCAAACCAGCTGTTTGACCCCAGGACAGGTAAGAGTGTAGGTAATGGAATGCTCTTGTTGTCTCCTGTGTCCCTAAGTGCTGGACTTAGTCTTGAGAAGAGGCAGCTGAGGAGTGATCTCATTGATCTGTACAACTCCCTGAAATGGTTTGTGGAGAGGTGGGGGATGGTCTCTTCTGCTGTACATACAGTACAGTGACTAGAGGGAATGGCCATAAGCTGAGACAGGGGAGATTCAGATCAGATGTTAGGAAATTTTTTTTTCACTGTTAGGGTGGTCAGACACTGGAATAGATTGCCCAGGGAGGCAGTGGAGTCACCATCCCTAGAAGTCTTTAAGAGGTATCTGGATCTGGCACTGGAGGATATGGTTTAGGATTTAGGAGTTACAGCAGAATGGCAGGCTAATGGTTGGACTTGATGATCTTAGAGGTCTCCTCCAACCTTGATGACTCTATGATTCCATGATTCTAAGTGGTGGACTTAGTCTTGAGAAGAGGTGGCTCAGGGGTGACCTCATTGCTCTACAACTGCCTGAAAGGGGGTTGTGGAGAGGTGGGGGATGCCCACTGCCACACCTGCAGTGAGAGGAGTAGAGAGAACGGCCGTAATATGAGATGGGAGATTCAGATTAGATACTTGGAAAAATTGTTTTACTGTTAGGTGGAATAGGTTGCCCAGGGAGGTGGTGGAGTCACCATCCCTGGAAGTGTTCCAGAGGTGTCTGGATCTGGTGCTGAAAGATGTGGTTTAGGGGTTAGGGGTTACAGCACAGTGACAGGTTGATGGTTAGACTTGATGCTCTTAGAGGTCACTTCCAACCCTGATGATTGTATTATTCTATGACTTTAAGGAGACAGAGGCTTAGGAAAATTCTCTTGAGTTTGGCTGGAGTTGGAGAGCATTCTGTTTCTGCAGGTGGTAATTGAGCAAAATACAAATGTAATGTACACAGACTTATACAGTCTGTACAGACAAATAGCAATGCTGGTAAAATGCTTGAGTGACAAGCAGTGGAGAAATGGAGGTCTTATCACAGTGGAAGTCAAGGGTGAATAAGGCAGTCCTTGTTGGAAGCTGACAGGTTTTCAGTCTAACCTGGTCTTGCCTGTAAACTGCAAGACTTACAGGTAGTTTGCAGAAAGATCATGTGTATTGCTGATTTTTATCATGCAAAAATTTTTAAATTTAGAGATGGTGATGCAAGCAGTGAGTTGTTACTGTTTAATATTCTCCTAGCCTAGTGCATTAGACTGCACAGCCCTGTTTCCCAGTGTAAGGCAGTCTCAAGAAAGTTAAAAGAAATTAATTACATACTTGTCTGTGGTTGGGAGTAAACAAGATTCTTTTTACAAGTGTGAGTCTCAGTGGAAGTGCACATCTATCTCATGCATACAAAATAAGAGTCTTTTCTGGGTGTCATTGTCTACAGGGCAGTCCAAATACTTTGTACTTCTGTGCCTGGGAAGAAAAGGAACACTTGCACCTGATGAGGTTCTGTTTTCTAGTCTAATCTGTGATTATTCTGGGGGGAAGGCAGAGAGTTGGGTGTTAGGTTTCCACCTTCTGAATAATTTTCTTTGCTTGTTAATCTTTTCTTTTGAATTCTAGGTCATGATTTTACTTTTTCATAAAAATAAGAAGGCAGAAATCAGGAGAGCTCTCAGAAACATTGGAGTATGGTGCATTGTGTCAGTTAACATAATGAGAAACTGCAAAAATTGGCTGTTTAGCAGCAGCAAAGCTTTTAATCTAGGGTTACCAATGTCTAATCTGCTTTTGTGAAGGGCAAACATCCAACAAATGTTCAGCCTATCCTTTTTCTTCTTTCCTGTCTCCAAAGTTCAAGAACTGTGAAAGTCCTTTCACTTGAACAGCCATGAAAATTATATTTAATACTGGAGGAACAGAATCCACTAAGTCAAGTAACGGTTGTTGAGGTAATCCAGTGCAGGTCTGAGTAGAAATTGTTTCCTCACGGAGCACCAAAACCAGCAGTGCTAGCACAGAGCTTCTCTACTCACCACTGAGTGCAGAAACTCTACATGCTCTCTGCAGTTAGGGGTCATCTGTGGTGGCTAGGGTTGTGTGTGTTGGGGAATAGTGCTTTTGTAGCTTGCCTCAGGGAGGAAAGAGTAGAGAACCTGAGCGAAGAACATACGTAGTGGGGAGTGTGAGACACTGATCTCAAGGGCACTTGTAACACTTTGCAAAGGCCTGTGGCCATTGTTTCCCAGCCTGTGTGGGTGATGAGTTCCAAGAGAATAGAACTGACTGTCAAGAAGATGCTGAAGACAATGAGGCTGGGATTTGGTTTTGACACCAAGGCCTGTGCTCCAAGAACTGATGAGGTCAACCAGGGGTTTGTCTGCAGTACAGACCCTGGCTGTGTCCACAATGTGAAATCATTCACTGGCACATAGGATATTTTATAGTTTTGCTGATGGAAGGAAAGTTTGGATGCAGTTTTCTCAGCAATTCCAGCAGCTGGGTTCCGTCAGCAGTCATGCAAATAATAGGATAGCCATTTTACCTTCACTTAACTTTTAATGAGAACATTACCTGCCTAGAATTTATGTATTTTCTGTTTCTCTTTATATTGCTTTTAAGTCAATGATAGCATCATCTAGATAGTGCATGATGATACTGTTGTGTGGCTGCTTTATATTGCGGTGGGTTATGTTGTCTGCCTGTTTCCTGCTGCTCTGGATTTCCGAATCAGAAAAGAACGGGGTCTTTCACAGAGGAAGCTCATGAGGTCAAGGCATGTGGAGAAACAAGGTTTATTAGACAGTGAATATCTATCCTTTTCCAAGAATGTCCTTAGCTCTGGTCAGTGCTATACATAAAGCTCTCCCACTCATTGAAGCTCATGGCAGTACAACTGCTGAAAAGTAGCCAAAAACCGCATCACTTGAGTCGCGGTTGACCTGAGCTGCTCTTAAACTATGTTGATAAAATTTTGTGAATTAGAAGGCCTGCAGGGCCAAAGTCTGTTAATCCATGGAGCAGGTAGGGCATGGAAGGCATCCTCTGCACCAGTTTAGAGCAAACTGCACTTAAATTGAGAGGAGCTTATTGTTCTTGCCCTTCCTGATCGGCAATGGTGAGGTTTCCAGATCCACTCCATGACTATAGTCATTCTATTGCAATTTGTGAATTTAGAGTGTTTGTGAAGAGCCTGTCTGCAGAACTCTAATTTTTACTACAGTGTCTGCAGCTGATTCTTGGATCTAGCAGAGGTTTGTTTCTTATAGGTTATCACCTGTCAAGTGGAGGCCTTCTTAGCTCTGTGCTTTACTCCATTTCTGAATAATGTTGAAATAAACCAAAGTGTGTGTTTTTTCATCAGAAGATATGATTATTGATAGTTTTGGAAGGTAGAAACATGTCTGCTGAGAAAAAGAAATGATAGTAAGAAGGGTATGTTTTCAGGGCATGTAGGTACAGATGTGCTTTGGTTGCTGTTCATCCAGTTGACTTGGAAAAATATTTTTGAACAGAGTAGCACATTTGCCAGTAAGGTAATTTTAAACGTAGATTTTAAATAGTAGAAATGTTACTTTAGGAGTGTGATCTCCTTGTTTTTTAGAAGTATTATAAGATTTTTCTCCATCTCTTTTTCTGCCATTAAGTATCTCAACCCAAAAACACTCCAAAAACCTATGTCTGTTCCTGGTAGTAAGTTCAAGGACAGGAATAGTGTAATGTTAGAAAACTATGAGATGGTGAAAGTTAAGATGATAAGAATAAATGGAGTTTTGCTGCTGCTTCAACTCAGAAAAGGATCTTTGGAAAAATGAAAAGAAATGCCTGTTGTGCCGGAGGAGTCGCTTGGTTGTGTGACTTGTGAGTGCCTGCTAGCCCTAAGCGCGGCATACCCAGGTCATGAGTTGTAGCCCCACCTGTTCTAAATTAACCACTTGAAGGGATCTCCAGCTGCCACACTTTATCCTCAGCAGCGTTTGTTACTGTTGCCTCCAATGAGGAGGTATCAGTAACCTCAGATTTTAGGGGCAGAGAGCTCTGTGGTAGTGTCCTTTCATTTTGCAAAAGTTTGTATGGAAACTTGTAACAAAGCTAAAGAGGTTGCAGATTTGCAGTTTGGCAATTGACCTGACAGTGCCTTTGATGAGAATTGGTGCCGACTGGGTTGTTACAAGCTGAGCAGACAGTTCTTACCCACTTTTGTGAGTATTTTGAAATCTACAGGAAGAAAAATGTTAATGCTGCATGAAAAAAGAGTGTTGCTTCAAGCCTTGTGTTTCAGATGGGATGAGAAAGGAAAAAGATTATAGTTTTCCTAGAAGATCCTAATATAAGCACTCGAAATACGGATCATTGCTTTTCACTTGTCTGAGCTGTTCTCTGGTATTTCATCACTTTGTTCTGATGCAGCTGCTGTAGAATGAAGCCTTATGCAGGTGGAAATCTGCAGCCATTCCCTTAAACAAGGTAAGGGCTATCTCTTGAGGCAGGGGTGTGCAAGGAAGAGTTTAATTGAGGAGCAGTAAGAAAAGCCAGATGTGTAATGTGAATAACACTGCTGAACTCAGTCTACTGCCAGACCTGGGCTGGCAGTGGGCACTGACACAAGGGACTCTGGATTTTCAGTGTTTCACCTAGAAACAGGATATTGCTTCATCAGTCTCTTACACAGACCTATGGGAAGAATTTTCTTCCCCGTGCTTTTAAATGTAGAAACTGCAGAAGTATGGCTTCTGCGGGCAAATGCCTTGAATTTCAGAGCTATCTAAAACAACTCAATACCATCTTGTGGATTGGATTTCTGGAGAATTAACTGTGCCCAAGTGTGTTCTGTGGAGTGA